GCCCAGCTAATTTTTTGTATTTTTAGTAGAGATGGGGTTTCACCATGTTGACCAGGATGGTCTCGATCTCTTGACCTCGTGATCCACCCGCCTCGGCCTCCCCAAGTGCTGGGATCACTGGGATGAGCCACTGCGCTCGTCTTTGATGTGAGCATCACAAGGCGACCTTCACAGCGTCCTCATTTAAGCAACTGCACCCCGTCATCTCTTCCATTGCTGTTGTACCAATCGCTTGGTGCGGCTCTTCCTGCTCCAGATCCTCAGCAGCCACCTCCAGTTCGAGGTGTCCCACGGGCCCTCCGGCATGGATTCCATGGTGCTGTCCGGGTTACGGGTGGCCTAAGGGGAATGGCACCACCTGCTGATTGAGCTGAAGAACGTGAATGAGGACAGTGAAATGAAGCACCTGGTGACCATGACCTTGGACTATGGGATGGACAGGTGAGCTGGCACCTGCCCTCCTTTGGGGACAGACCCTTCCTCTGGCCCATGGAAAAACAGAATGACCCCTTAATGTGCCAGGACCCGCCAGAGATCTTGTGGATGTGGGGAGGCACTTTCTGGGACCCTCAGTGGGCTTCTGTTCTGCCCTCTGCTGAGGCCACTGGCATCTTCACCTCCACCCAGATGCGGCCCTCCTACGGGCAGCTTCCTCCAGCGGCCTTTCTCATCACAGTGCTGTCGGCGCCCTCAGCCGTGGTTGCTTTCAGCCTTGCCATCTTGAGCAATGCCTGCAGCCTCAGCACTGTGTCTTTAGGGTACTGAGGTGAACATGCCAGGGCCCAGGAGACCTAGGTGGGTGGATCATGAGGTCAGGAGTTCGAGATCAGCCTAACATGAAACCCCATTTCTAGTAAAAATTCAAAACTAGCCGGGTGTGGTTGGTGCGTGCCAATATCCCAGCTACTCAGGAGGCTGAGGCAGGAGAATCACTTGAACTGGAAGGCGGAGGTTGCAGTGAGCTGAGATTGCACCACTGCACTCCAGCCTGGGCGACAGGCGAGATTCCATCTCAAAAAAAAAAGAAATGCCAGGGTCCGTGCCCTCAAGAGTATGGATGGGGAGCAAAGCTGGGAGAGCAATAAGGCCCAGGTCCTGGACAGGGCTGGGAGACACCAGGGGGCCCCACATGTCCCAGGCAGGCAGGTGGCGTGGTCCCAGGCAGTGTACAGAACACTTACGGAACCAGACTGGGTTTCCACAGTTCGCAGGCGGGTAACCCAGGATGTTGTCTATGAGATGCTCACACACCTGAAGGGGGCTCCCTGGATTTCCAAGAGCTCTTGGAGCCAAGGCTCACATTACAACACAGACCTGGGAATAAATGGGTGAGTTCCAGGCACCTGCCTTTCTGGGACAGGAGCTCAGCCGAGACACTCTTGGGTTCCCACAGTATTCATGGGTGAACGGATTTCCGCCCCCGCAGTCTTCCTGATGCCCAGCATGGCTGGTTTAGGGTTGCGCCCTTCACAGAGGCAGGAGAGTTATGCACTTTCCCCCACCGGCCGCCTCAGCTGGGCTGGGACCTGGACGTCATCCTCTGGCCTAGTCCCCTCGCCCTGGTCGTCACAGCAGCCACGCTGTCCAGCTGGGCCCAGCTCTCTCTTCGGAGGCCCGGATGTCCCTCAGGCTCTGGGGAGTTTGTTGAAGCCACTGTTTCAGGCTTCCCACGTGGTTTCCCAGCTGGAAGATGTTTCTAGGATGGTGGATGCAGCCCCCAGAGCTCTGCCCCCTCTCTCCACACAGAGCAGGCAGATATCGGGTGCATGCTTCCGGGCTGACGATAAGGAGCATGGTGGTCGGGGGCGCCTCTGAAGACAAGGTGTCCGTGTGCCGTGGGTTTCCGAGGCTGCATGCAGGTACATGGGAGCGGCAGGGGCTGCCCCTCACAGGCGGCTTGGAGGCTGCCAGCCTGCAGTTGGTGCCGTCAGTCACCTGTTAGCTTTCAGTGAGCGGAGAATGTGTCTGATTGGCACCCCCACTTTAACAGCCCCTGTTTCCTCTTTAGACCCATCCCCCTGCAGTTCCCCTCGGCATGGGGATGTCCCTGGCCCCCACAGCTCCTCACTGCCATGCCATGTTAGCCACCTGCCCCTCTGCCTTCACAAAGTGTCCTGAATCAATCCTACCCAGTTCAACACCCCACATGGCACCCAAGTGGCCCCCATGCCTATGCCATGGAGCCAGGTGCTCCAGCTCCAGCCAGAGGAGCTGCTCTGAGAGTCACTCAGCTCTCAGCCCCCTCAGCAGGGACATCTACTCCTCACACCCCAACTGCACACCCCAGGAGATCTGGCCAGCATGCCCTCTGAGCTCCTTGCCCAGCTCTGCACTGCACTCTGGCTACCAGGAGTGAAAGGAACAACCCTGCCTGTCCCAGCTCTATAGCTAAATGAGGTGTCACCAATGAATGCATTGCAAGTGACCAGAGAGACCTCTGAGTTCCCTTAGCCCTCCTCACTTTTCTGGGCTTCTCCCATCCCAACACCCTTTCCTTGATTCAGGGAGTGAGGATGGGGGGATGCCCACCAATGTGGCCACCCTGAACATGAACAACGCCCTCAAGGTCAGGGTGAAGGACGGCTGTGATGTGGAGGACCCTTGTACCTCAAGCCCCTGTCCCCCCCACAGCCGCTGCCACAATGCCTGGGAGGACTACAGCTGTGTCTGTGACAGGTGGGACCTTCAGTGACAGGGACTCCTCTCATGGCTGAAACACAGGACGGGGCTCAGTTTGGACATTGGTGTCCCCAGCCGATTCCCTGTGGTTCCGTGGAGTGCTGAGCTTTATTTTATAACAAGTGGGCCCCTCCTGGAGAGAGACTCAGCCTCTTCCTTACTGGAGGCACAGGGAGTGGTCTAGGCCCTCTCAGCACATGAGGTGATAATCTGGGTGCGGTGGCTCATGCCTGTAATTCCAGCACTTTGAGATTCAGAGGCAGGCGGATCACTTGAGGCCAGAAGTTCAAGACCAGCCAGGCAACATGGTGAAACCCTGTCTCTACCAAAAAATACAAAAATTAGCCAGGTGTGGTGGCATGCACCTGTGGTCCCAGCTACATGGGAGGCTGAGGTGGGAAGATCACTGGAGCCTGGGAAGCAAAGTCGCAGTCAGCTGAGATCACCCCACTGCACTTCAGCCTGGGCAACAGAGCAAGACTCTGTCTCCAAAAACAAACAAACAAAAAAACCTAGTAAAAAGTATACATTAAAAAAAATTGGCCGGGCACGGTGGCTCACGCCTGTAATTCCACTATTCGGGAGGCCAAAGACAGGCAGATCATGTGAAGTCGGGAGTCAGCTCATCCGTTGACGGATGCCTGGGTCATGTCCACCTTTTGGCCTGTGTGAATGGTGCTGTTGTGAATGTGGGTGTGCAAATATCTGGGTCCTTGCTTTTAGACTTTTGGGTGTAGAGCCAGAAGTGGGCTTGCTGGGTCATGTGGTAAATCCTATAACCTAGCCTGGCCAACATGGTGAAACCACGTCTCTACTAAAAATAGAAAAAGCAACCAGGCATGGTGTGTGCGCGCCTGTAGTCCTAGCATACCTGGAGGCTGAGGCAGGGGAATCACTTGAACCTGGGGAGCAGGGTTGCGGTGAACCTGGGAGGCAGAGGTTGCGGTGAGCCAAGATCGGGCAACTGCACTCCACCTGGTGACAGGAAACTGTCTCAAAAAAAAAAAAAAAAAAAAAAAAAAAAAAAAATCAGCAGCTAGGCCTGTTTCCTCATCTGTGGAGTGGAGTCTTTGGAAGACAGTCTGCAGTGACTCACCATTGCTCCCAGGGGCCAGGTCCCAGGCTTGGGAGATGTTGGGGCGCATATCTGGGTGGTCCAGCAGGCGGTCCTCCAGACCCTCGGAGTGAGGCTCCTAGAAGGGTGGGTTTCATGGGTTCTGCCTCCCTCCAGCTCACTGCAGACAGGTGTAGGTACACGTGTGTGCAGGAAGCTGGAAATCCATTCTGTTCTAAGATGGTCAGATCAACCAGGCATGGTAACTTTGCGCCTGTAAGTTAGCAGTGTGGGAGGCCAAGGTGGGCAGACTGCTTGAGCCCAGGAGTTCGAGACCAGCCTGGGCACTGTAGTGAGACCCCTTCTCTATTAAAAAATAAATAAATTAGCCAGGTGTGGTGGCATGCTCTTGTATTCCCAGCTACTCAGGAGGCTGAGGTGGGAGGATTGTTTGAGCCAGGAGATTGAGGCTACAGTGAGCTGAGATTGCACCACTGCACTTCATCCTGGGTGAGAGAGTGAGACCGGGTCTCAAAAATAAAATAAATAAATAGGCTGGGCACAGTGGCTCGTGCCTGTAATCCCAGCACTTTGGGAGGCTGAGGCAGGTGGATCACTTGAGGTCAGGAGTTTGCGACCAGCCTGGCCAACATGGCGAAATGCATCTTTACCAAAAACAAAAAATCAGCCAGGCATGATGTCGCACACGTGTATCCTAGTACTCAGGAGGCTGAGACAGGAGAAGTGGCTGAAGCTGGGAGGCAGAGGTTGCAGTTAGCCAAGATCACGCTGCTGCACTCCAGCCGGGGAGACAGCGTGAAACTCCATCTCAAAAAATACTAATTTTAAAAATTAAATAAATAACTAAGGCCAGCCAATTAGTGTGACAGTTGTAGTCATTTGAAAACAGCGACCAGGCACAGTGGCTCATGCCTGTAATCCCAGCACTTTGGAGGCTGAGGCGGTGGGATCACGAGGTCAAGAGATCGAGACCATTCTGGTCAACATGGTGAGACCCTGTCTCTACCAATAATACAAGAAATTAGCTGGGCATGGTGGCATGTGCCTGTAATCCCAGCTACTCAGGAGGCTGAGGCAGGAGAATTGCCTGAACCCAGGAGGCGGAGGTTGCGGTGAGCCGAGATCACGCCATTGCACTCCAGCCTGGGTGACAAGAGCGAAACTCCATCTCAAAAAAAAAAAGAAAACAGCAAGGGTTCAAGGCAGCTGTGGGGGTTATGTCTGATTAAAGGAAGTATCCCCCCAGTTCTTGCTGTCGACATCTTTGACAAGTTGAACTTCACGGGAGCCACAGTGCCACGGTTTGACACCATTCAGGAAGAGTTCCCCAGGGAGCTGCAGTCCTCTGTCTCCTTCCCAGCTGACTTCTTCAAACCACCCGAAGAAAAAGGTAAAAGCTCTTAGAAACCTGCTGCTGCCCTCGACACCCCCAGAGTTCAGGGAGCGGGGACCCCCTGCAGCATACCAGGATGGTGAACACACCATGTTCTGGGCACTGAAGATCCAGGGCTGGGGTGTTCTGAGTGTTGGCCAGCGCCAGGTCCCATTGGTGGCTGCGGGTTGTTTCAAACAAGCGCTCAGGTACAGGTTGAGCACCCAGATCCTGAGATCTGAACTGCTTCAGAATCTGAACCTTCTGGAGCACCAACCTGACGCTGGAAGGAAGTGCTCATTGTAGCATCAGTATGAATATTTAAAAAAAAAATCCAGGCTGGGCACAGTGGCTCATGCCTGTAATCCCAGCACTTTGGGAGGCCGAGGTGGGCAGATCACCTGAGGTCTGGAGTTCGAGACTAGCCTGGCCAACATGGTAAAAATACAAAAACTCTACTAAAAATACAAAAACTAGCCAGCTGAGGTGACAGGCACCTGTAATCCCAGCTACTCAGGAGGTGGAGGTATGAGAATCGCTTGAGCCCAGGAGGCGGAGGTTGCAGCATTGAGATGCACCAGCCTGGGCTATAGAGTGAGACTTTGTCTCAAAAACAAAATCCAACATGTTCCTAAGCATTTCAGCTGAGGGATACTCAGCCACGTGACTGATAATGTGAACGAGAAACAACTGAAATTTGTGTGTACACTGGTCTTCGGTGTGCAGTGAAAAGCTGCTGCTAGCTGGGTACGATGGCTCACACCTGTAACCCCACACTGGAGGCTGACATGGGGAGGATCGCTGGAGCCCAGAAATTCAAGACCAACCTGGGCAACATAGGGAACCCCATTTCTACCAAAAAGTTTTTTTTTAATTACCTGGGCATGGTGGTGTCCACCTGTAATCCCACCTACTCAGGAGCTGAGACGGGAGGATTGCTTGAACCCAGGAAATGGAGGCTGCAGTGAGCTGTGGTCATGCCACTACAGCCCAGCCTGTGCAACAGAGAAAGAACCGTGTGGGGGGTTGGGGGTGTGAAAGGCCGCCTTTAAATAGAAATAAAAATTTTAGAGTCACCTTCCCCTCCCTGAAAGAAACAACCACAAACCCGAACCAGAATGCCGTCTGTGTATGTACAAATCCTCAGTCCTGGGTTGAGATAGGTGATACGAAACTATTTAACCTTTCGAATTTTCCTAAGGTGCTTTTTCACAGATCCATGACAATCACTAAAAACGTCCAAAATAAAAAGGACATGAAAAGGTAAACCCCTTAATGGACCGTTTAGAATCGGAAACCTTGTGACTAAAGCGATTTGTCAGGTATATCTCGTGTCATAAAAAGAGGGGTGACTGATACGGGGCTGTGCCTGAAACTGAGAGGATGAGGTTTGAAACTGACTAGCCCCCCGCTGCAGCCAGCTCTCTCTGGAACTAATAGAGAACTTGCTCATTACCAAGGGAGGTACCAAGCCATTCATGGGGGATCCACCCCTGTGACCCCCTGACCATGTGCAGGTCTAATGCTGATCACATTTCAGTGTGAGATTTGGAGGGGCCAGACATCCAGACTATATAGATACATTCATGTTGAAGCAGTCCACCTTCAGAACTCTCTTCATCCTGCAGATCTGAAACTCTAGCCCGCAAAACACCAACACCCTCCCCAGCCCTAGTGCTCACCATGCTTGCTTTCTCTGCATTGGACTCCTCTAGGGAACTCCTATAGGTGGAATCACGCAATTATTTGTTCTTTTGTGATTGGCTTATTTCACTGAGCGTAATGTCCTCTAGGTTCACCCATGTCGTGGTAAGTGTCAGACTTTGCTTTCTTTTGAAGGCTGAGTAATATTCCATTGTGTGGATGGACCGTGTGTGTTTATCCTCTCATGTGTTGACGGATGCCTGGGTCGTGTCCACCTTTTGGCCTGTGTGAATGGTGCTGTTGTGAACGTGGGTGTGCAAGCATCTGGGTCCCTGCGTTCAATCTTTTGGATGTAGAACCAGAATTGGGCTTGCTGGGCCATGCGGTAAATTCTATTTTTGATTTTTTGAGGACCTGCCATACTGTTTTCAGTGGAACATCTGTTGGTTTTGTGAGAAACGCCTGCTGGCCCTGACCTCGGCCTTGGAGAATGCAGGTGTTCCCACCAGAGTTCTCACGCTCTGCTCACGTGTAGAAGGCCCCCTGGGGAGGCCGGCCGGCCGGAGGACCACCCCGCAGACCACCGCCCAGGGCCGGGCACCGAGAGGGAGGCTCCGATCAGCAGGCAGAGCGACACCCTGATGATGCTGGCCAGTTCGCCGTCGCTCTGGTCATTATTTACCGCACCCTGGGCAGTTCCTGCCCGAGCACTATGACCCAGACCGCCGAAGCCTTCAGTAAGGCCTGAGCATGGGGGCATGGGGACATGGGGAGGGTCCGTTTCACAGGTCCCCAAGGCTTCCACAAGTCAAAATTCTGATCTTGATTAAGCATAGGTCTTTACGGCAGCATTTCACCGGGACCCTGGCCCAGAGACAGAGACCACTGTCCTGTGGTGTCCCTTGGAGGGAGGTTCTGGGTCTGCCACTGGATGCTATCCCCTGGAGCACCATACATCCTTCGCCTGGGCTTATCCCAGTGCTTCTGCCAGAAATGCCCCCTCCCCAGCATATGCCCCATCTTGTGCCCCGAGGGACCCCATGCTGTCCCCACAGACCCTAACCGAGCTGTCGTGGGTGGTGCCTGCTGCTGGCCCCGGGCTTTAGAGCGCTCAGCCCATCCCGGCTGGAAAGGATGGATGTTGGGAAGCAGGTTTGTGGCCCCCTCGGTGGGAGCAGCCCGAGCCTCTGCCCTTCCTCCTCCTGCAGTTTCCCAGACACTTCCCTGACTCAGGGGTCCTCGTGATCACGTGGTTTCTCAGTGACCAGGTGATCACCCCCGGAGCTGCCATTATTCTGCTGTCTTTGGACATTTAAGCCACCACCTGTTTGTCTGCCGTTAACTGTTTCGGCTGTAACGTCTTCGCACCTGTGCCTTCTGTTTCTTTTTGAATTTCTGACCCGAAGATGACACATCTCCCTGTGGGCTGTGTCAGTGATAAACCTGCACATTGTGCAGGGGTATGAAGACATTGTGGGGCCTGCGGCCCCGAGCTCTCTGCGTGTGATTCTGTGTCCCTGGAGACCATCCGTGGCATGTCCTCAGGGCGTTTGTATGGGATTTC